GCTTCCCAACTGATGCAACTCTTGATGACATAAAAGAATGGTTAGAAGATAAAGGTCAAGTACTAAATATTCAGATGAGAAGAACATTGCATAAAGCATTTAAGGTATGATTGTATGATAATAACAGACTTTTTCTAGTTTTAAAATACATGGGACATAACTTAAAAAAAAAACTTTATCTCCTTTTGTGTAGGGATCAATATTTGCTGTGTTTGATAGCATTGAATCTGCTAAGAAGTTTGTAGAGACCCCTGGCCAGAAGTATAAAGACACGGACTTGCTAATACTTTTCAAGTAAGGCTTTTTGCTGATATTTCTTCTGACTACTTAGTGATATGGAATTAATATACTGGGGTAAGGAGCGTGGAGTAGCATCCTCTATAGGGCCAGTCTTTTTAGTATCCTTAGACATTTTGAGAAATGCTTGAAATTTGTTCAGTGAGACCTGTACAAGTCCTTTGAGATTAAAAAAGTCTTCATTGGTACCTTTTTGCTATTAGCAATTAATTTAGGAGATTAAGTCTTATTCTGCATTTAAAACTTAAAATCAGGCTTAGCATGGTGGCTTAATATCTATAATTCCAGCACATTGGGAGGCAGAGGCAAGGATTGCCTGAGCCCAGGAGTTAGAGACCAGCCTGGACAACTTGGCGAGACCTCGTCTATATAGTAAATTAGAAAATGAGGCCGGGCTCGGTGGCGCAGCCTGTAATCCCGTGCTTTGGGAGGCCGAGGTGAGTGAATTGCCTGAGCCCATGGGTTTGAGACCCGCCTGGGCAACTTGGCGAGACCTCATCTCTACAATAAATCAAAAATTAGCCAGGTGTGGTAGTGCGCGCCTATAGTTCCAGCTACTTGGAAGGCTGAGGCGGAAGGATCGCCGGACCCCAGCGGATCAAGGCTGTGGTAAACCATGATCATGCCACTGCACTCCAGCTGGGTGATAGAGTGAGACTCCGACTTAAAAAAACAACTTAGAATCAGATTGTATACTATAAAATTTGGGCTTTTTTGTGTGGTTGAAGAAGAAATCACTGTGCAGTTTTCATCTGTTCTTATTTTCCATTGTCTATGTATGCCTATATTTTTATACAGTGCAAAGGATTAAGATTTGAATCACATTCTTTTGTGTATCTAAAAATGTGGACAAACCAGAGCATTTTATTATAAAAGTTAGTTATAGGGCCTTAGTTCCTACTTTTGCATTATAGTCTTCTAAATGGTATGTACTAAACCTGATTGAGTTAAAGTTGCACTATGATAATTCATACCGTCAGTGTTAAATCCTCAAAAAATGTTTTAACATGATTTTCATAATTGTCATTTTCTTTGGGGATTTAAGAATTTTTTCCTTTTATGAAATTAACTATAGAAAACTATGAAATGTTAGTGTTTGTGTGACTTGTATACTTTTTTCTATATATAAGTGATAAATGAAAATCAACATAACTGCTAATGAATATGGAGATTCTTTTGGAGGTCATGCAAATAAATGGTCTGAAATTAGTGGTGGTGATTGTACAATTCTGAATATACTAAAAACCTTCAAAGTAGACAGTAAGAGGATGAATTTCATGACACATGAATTTTCTCTTAGTAAAGCTGTTATTTAAAAAACAAAAGAGTAACATTTTAAATTTTTAGGTGATTATGTTGATAATAAATGTAACATTTTTTGCTATGCCCTGTCTTAAGTCACAGTTTGCAGTTTTATCTTTCCTCATGAACTTAGCCTCTGTATTGTGTGTCCTTTAGGGAAGATTACTTTGCAAAAAAAAATGAAGAAAGAAAACAAAATAAAGTAGAAGCTAAATTAAGAGCTAAACAGTAAGTACGTTGAACTAATCGTGACATAATTTGAATTCCTCAAAGCTTATACAAAGGTAGAGTTAGTGGTTCTGGGGAGAACTCTGAAATGAGGGGTAATAAGACTTTCTTTTTGCTAGTGAAACATTGAGATCTTGAGCTTCAGCTGCCTTGACAGTCCGGGGGCCACACTATTTGTAATCTAGTATTGGATGATCAGAAAACCTAAGGACTGCTGGTTTTGGTTATTAAGTAGTTTAGTCATCATGATCAAGGTTATGTTTATTAGGATTTAATTTTCTTATATTAAATGGAAACGTCATTATAACATTTTTATTTGTAGAGAGCAAGAAGAAAAACAAAAGTTAGAAGAAGATGCTGAAATGGCAAGTATATAACTACTTGTATCTAATACATCTATAATTCAAGGTTATAAGAATAACTTCTAAGACTGAGGACAAAGAAAATATATATAATTGTCATTGTACTAAAATAACATATAAATAACATCTAAAATTATTTTCCAATCTAGTTTAATAACCAGATTTATATAGTTTATAGCTAATTAAATATCACTTATAGAAAAGATGAAGTTAAAAATCAGAAGCTGGCCAGGCTCGGTGACTCAGCGGTTCAAGACCAGCCTGGGCAACTTGGCGAGACCTCGTCTCTACAATAAGTCAAAAATTAGCTGGGTGTGGTAGCGCGTGTCTGTAGTTCCAGCTGCTTGGTAGGCTGAGGCGGAAGGATCGGCTGAGGTGGAAAGATTGCTGGAGCTCAGCAGGTCAATACTGGGGTGGCCTTGAGTGGGCCACTGCACTCTTACCTGGGCGACAAAGTGAGACTCTAACTCAAAAAAAAAAAAGTCAGAAACCACTATAGAATAAAGGATGACAAAAGAAAACACTGTTAAACTACTTTAAAATAGCATTTTGGAGCCGGGCTCGGTGGCTCAGCCTGTAATCCCGCGCCTTTGGGAGGCTGAGGTGAGTGAATTGCCTGAGCCCGCGGATTTGAGACCCGCCTGGGCAGTGAGACTTCATCTCTACAATAAATCAAAAAATCAGCTGGGCGTTGTAGCGCATGCCTGTAATTCCAGCTACTCGGAAGGCTGAGGCAGAAGTGTTGCCGGAGCCCAGCAGGTCGAGGCTGTGGTGGCCGGGAGCGGCCACTGCACTCCAGTCTGGGCAACAGAGTGAGACTCCAACTCAAAAAAAAAAAAAAATAGCATTTTGGTTTCTAATTTTTTCATTGTATTAGGTATAAAATGTGAGCCATTTCTGCTTTGTGGTTGCTTTTAAGAAACTTTTTGATTGCCTTGTATATTTTTACAGAAATCTCTAGAAGAAAAGATTGGATGCTTGCTGAAATTTTCGGGTGACTTAGATGATCAGACTTGTAGAGAAGATTTGCACATCCTTTTCTCAAATCATGGTGAAATAAAATGGATAGACTTTGTCAGAGGAGCAAAAGAGGTTTGGAAACATTTGTATCCTTTTAGCAATCAGTTAAAAAATCTGTAGAAACGTCTTTCAGAAGATAAGCGAGACCTCCATCTCTACAATAAATCAAAAATCAGCCGGGTGTGGTAGCGCACGCCTGTAATTCCGGCTACTCGGAAGGCTGAGGTGGAAGGATCGCCAGAGCCCAGTGGGTCGAGGCTGTGGTGCCTGGGAGAGGCTGTGGTGGCCAGGAGCGGCCACTGCACTCCAGTCTGGGCGACGGAGTGAAACTCCAACTCAAAAAAAAAAAAGTAGTTAGAAAGCAATTTTTACCGGGCGCAGTGGCTCAAGCTGGTAATTCCAGCACTTAGGAGGCCAAGATGAGAAGATTGCCTGAGTCCAGGGGTTCAAGACCAGCCTGGGCAACTTAGTGAGACCTCATCTCTACAGTAAATCATAAAATTAGCCAGACATGGTAGTGCACTCCTGTAGTTCCAGCTACTTGGAAGGCTGAGGTGAACTTGCTTGAGCCCAGCAGATTGAGGCTGCGGTGGCTGTGAATGTGCCACTACACTCCAGTCTTGGCGACAGAGTGAGACTCCCAAATCAGAAAAAGCAAGCAAGCATTTTTTGATTGTGTCTATTAAAATAGTCTCTACTTGATCTTCTACTTTGTTATTCCTTCCCCTAGATGCGATGTCTGTTCTTATTTTCTGAATTATATTCTATGATTTTATTTGTTTGGTTTGTTTGGTGATTGCAGTTTTACTTTGTGGCATTCTTTTTCTAAAGTTCAGTTAAATTCATTCATACTGGTAATGGCATCGATTTACAGGCTGAGAAAAATTACTATGAAGAAGTTAGTTGTGGGACTGAGAAACTAAGGTGGCTTCTATTTCTTGTCACATAGGGGATAATTCTATTTAAAGAAAAAGCCAAGGATGCATTGAGTAAAGCCAAAGATGCAAATGATGGTAACCTACAATTACGGAACAAAGAAGTGACTTGGGAAGTACTAGAAGGAGAGGTGGAAAAAGAAGCATTGAAAAAAATCATAGAAGACCAACAAGAATCCCTGAACAAATGGAAGTCAAAAGGTCATTTATTCCAATTTTTCTTTAACAGTTTGGTTATTTGAACTCATTTACTTGAGTAAAAATTTTAATCAGTGCTCAAAAACATCAACAAGTTACTTAAAATATTTATAAAGTGCTCAATTTTGTATTTACAGGTCGCAGATTTAAAGGAAAGGGAAAGGGTAATAAAGCTGCCCAGCCTGGGTCTGCTAAAGGAAAAGTACAGTTTCAGGGCAAGAAAACTAAATTTGATAGTGATGATGAACGTGATGAAAATGGTGCGATGGGTAAGTTTTTCTTAGTCCTTTGGTGGTTTCATGAGACGTTATCTGCCATAGAGAACAGGGGTTGTGTTTTTCAACTTCTGTTATGCGCCATTCTTGGATGATTATGATGCACTTTGGTTTTGCTGTTTGACAAGTTGGAGACAGAATATTTGGGAAGGGAAGTTTAGAAGTCACATGGCCTTTTCTCATTGTGCCAAGGAGGTTGTTGCTGTTCTAAAATAATTAATAATTATGCTCAGTATTGAAATAGAGCAGTGCTTACACTGATTTTTAACAAAAACTAATTCTGTTATTGTGTAGGATCAGTGAAAAGGGCAAGAGAAGAAATAGATAAAGAAGAACCTACATCAAAACAACGGAAAACAGAAAATGGTGACCGAGACCAGTAGTTTAGCAAACACTTTTTTTAATTAATTTTCATTAGGTTTTAAGCTGCTTTTGTTTTTGGAGGCCTTTAAAATGAAAACCGAATTAGGTCCACTTCAATGTCCACCTGTAAGAAAGGAAAAGATTTTTTTGTTGTTTAACTTGTCTTTTTTTTGTTATCCAAATGATTTTTTGGAATGTATAGTTCTGTTTGTGTTATTTCAAAGGATTCAAATATCAAAAGGAAGAATCTTCCACTAAATTGCCTTTGTAATATGAAAATGCATTAGTATAAACTAATAAAATATATACTATATAAAAAAAGCAAAAATTTGTCTTATTTTTTCCTTTTTGTATCCAAAACATTTGTAAAGAACTTAAAAGTAGAACACTGGCTGTTGATTATGGGGCTCTTCCCACAGTTAATTTATCCTGTCTCCTAGGCTGGTTTTCTGTATTTACCCAGGCAACTTGATGACATTAGAAACAGTTATTTATTCCAAAACTTTTCAATACTGAATGTAGATAGACCAGAATCAAGAGACTTACTGATTTCTTTTTATGAAAGTTGTATGATGCTGGCAGGTCATATCGAAGCTCTGTAAAACAAAAGCCACCTAAGCTTAAAAATAACATTTCCAAATATTCACCACTCTTGCCTAACAACAACTAAGAAAAGTATTAAATGCTGGTAAGCTGAACATTTAAGACCTGTCACTTTAATTTATCCAGGTACTGCCTTGATAAATTCCCATAATTGGCTGTGGCAAACCGAGGTTGGCGTTTCTGCTATTATGGCCATTTACACAAAGATTTGAGGTTATATTGAAAAGTTTAGAAGGATAACAAGTAGACAAAAAAGTAAATCCTATGAAAATGATAGCACCTTTCTATCCTTAACCTAATACTCTACAGCTAATTTACTCTCATAATAACCATGCTTATTTCAAAATTTTCTTACCTATATTTTAGTAATGGTAGAAAGTAGCTATTTTGCCACTAAGCTCTCAAATGAAAACCAATTTTTCATACTCTTTCCCTCTAAAAAATAATATAGCTTCTCCAGACTCTTACTACTGTCTGTTTTAGAGGGATGACAATGAGTCTGCCTAGCCTTCATATTTTACAACATAAATTCTAACCCAGTATGTAGGTCAGAACTCTCAAATTTTAATGTGCAATCAAGTCACCTGAAGATTTTGTTGTAAAGCATATTTTCATTCAGTAGGTCTGGGTGGAGCTGGAAATTCTGTATTTCTAACAAGTTCTCAGGGATGTCAATGCTGATGGTCTGAGGACCACATTTGGAGTAGCAAGGCTCTGGTATAGCCTGGGACTGTTCTATGGTGTTACATATTGCATGTTGAAATACCTAATCCAGTATTGAATAGGAAGACCAACAGTTTTAAAATATATTACTGCTTATTATGAACAGTAATATATCTAGTGTGTTTAATACCACAGTGCCAATTCATGGATAGCTTATTGTGCGAAAAGACATGTTCTTATTGCACTCTTATTTCAGACCTTTGAAAATTATTTGGGCTACAGTTTAGCTTCTAGTTATATGCTCTTCCTGTTTTGATGTTTATGAATATTACCCAATTTAGTAATAAAAATGTATCAAACATGGTTTACTTTTAGTATGGATGTTTATAGTCTTATCTTCCACCATAAAGAAAAAGGTCGCCGGGCTCGGTGACTCAGCCTGTAATCCCGCGCTTTGGGAGGCTGAGGTGAGTGGATTGCCTGAGCCCGCGGGTTCGAGACCCACCTGGGCAACTTGGCGAGACCTCATCTCTACAATAAATCAAAAATTAGCCAGGGTGGTAGCACGCGCCTGTAGTTCCAGCTACTTGGAAGGCTGAGGTGGAAGGATCGCCAGAGCACAGCAGTTTGAGGCTGCAGTGGCCGGGAGCAGCCACTGCACTCCAGTCTGGGTGACAGAGTGAGACTCCAACTCAAAAAAGTATTAAAAAAAAAAAAAAGGAAAGTCAATGGTATTTGACTCCAAGGCAATTAGCAAATTGAAATAGAAAGGTTATCTAGGAATAACCTGGTGGTATTTTCCATGAGTGGATTTCAACCAAGCTCTGACCAACTCCAGGCCCATGTTTTTAGTCATCGTGATGCTATATAGTGTTCTATGAGTCTGGAGTGACCAAATACCTGAGTGCTATAGACATTTTCAGTAAAATGCATAAACCGGAAACAATCTCAGGCAAACTGATAAATAATCTGCCTTTACTCCGTTTCCAATCTGTTACCAACTATGCACATTGTACCACAGAAAAACATTTTCTCAACATCTGTATAAAAATTTTGGTTGGGATAATGCATATCCCTTAATAGACATTAAGGTTGAGATTTGTCTTACCTGCAATAATATCTATCTTGATTTTCCATTCTGCAGCTTTCTTTTGAACATGCTGAACATAAATCACATGTTTATGAGCTGATTTTTAAAAATTTTAAATCACTTTTAAAATTGCTTTTCACTAATACTTGAGATTAAGTTTTCAAACGTAAAATTTCATTAGAAATGAGACCCTTATAAAAATTTCAACTGGAAAGATAGTATTTTGAAAATAAATCAAGCTATTTCCATATATTTAACAATTGAGCCAAATTACACAATTAAATCCAAGTGATTCAAAACTACTCAAGTGACACATAATGACATTTTGGTCAAGAATGGACCACATGTTAATTATAGTGGTCTCATAAGATTATAATGGAGTTGAAAAATTCCTATCACCTAGTGATGTAGTTGTCTTGGCATTATAGCAGAATGCATAACCTTTTTGATGTTCAGATAAACAACACTATTACAATTGTCTGGTATTCAGTACAGTAACATGCTGTACAGGTTTGTAGCCTAGTATCAATAGGCTATACCATATAGTCTAGGTGGTACATTCTGTTTGCATAATGATGAAATTGACAAGTGATGCATTTCTCAGGACATTTTCCTGTCATTAGGGATGCATGACTTTCAGAAATCCATCAAAGTGCATAATGTACTCATGGTTTCTATAGCATTATTTCATTAGTATACACAGCTATCCTGGAAACCAGTTAGCAGAGATGTATGTACATGGGCAATTCAGTGGCAATATGGTAATGGTAGTTAAGAACATCGAGACCCGCCTGGGCAGCGAGACCTCATCTCTACAATAAAAAATCAAAAAATCAGCCGGGGGTGGTAGTGCATGCCTGTAATTCCAGCTACTTGGAAGGCTGAGGCGGAAGGATCGCCGGAGCCCAGCAGGTCGAGGCTGAGGTGGCCGGGAGGGGCCACTGCACTCCAGTCTGGGCGACAGAATGAGACTCCAACTCAAAAAAAAACACAAAAAAAACATGTGTCTCAAACCAGATTGCTTGCATTTGAACTACAGATCTACCACTTAATACTAGCAATGTAATCCTGAAAAAATTACTTATTCTCTGCCCCACTTTCCTCATCTGTTAAATGAGGGTAAAGATTGTGGACTGTGCAGTATTTTGAAGTGTGCTGGCATAGACAGCACCAAATATGTTAGCTTTTGATTGGTCTACAATTCTTGAACCAGTTTATAAAGAATTATCAATTTGTAGTTAGTAATTTATTTAAAATTTCCTTATGAATTAGAAAATTATAATATACAACATTCCCACAGCAATAGAAATTTTTAAAAAGCTGACCAAAATAAGTTATGCATGTATAATCTGGAAATGCTACAGTAAGAGACATCAATATATCAATATACTAACCTTGTATTATAAGCATTTGTCCATGTTGGTAGACTTCATAAGGATACTTATTAATTGGTACCAAATTGACTGATAAAATACTTTAATGTTCCCTGACAGTTTAGTTTTAAATATCTTCCAATATTATACATAATACTGACATTAATATGTTTGTGCTAGTAGTTTTTTTCCTGAATTTAATAAATCCCAGTTCTGGCCATAGTTTTCTTCTACTTTAAGATCTAAAATTTCGGTATAAGGATACAGACTTTAATGCAAACAGTATTATAATTTAATGAAATCATGATCCTTGGTAAGTTTGTGAGAAATAAGTTAGGACTTTCTTACTTACCTGAGTCTTAAGGTTAATTAAAGGTCTTAGTTATTAGATTGTGCAATGAGACTGGTTGGTTCTGGCAGAGATGTAAAAGAATGAATGAACAGGTGAGCTTGGGATAAACACCTGAAAGAATAGTACCAAGCTTAGCCACTTTGGTACTTTGTTTAACCATGAGCCAAGAACTAAATTCTCGCATGCCCAATTAGGTAAGATAAGGCAACAGCTTCAAGAGTCACATGGTTTGTTAGCATAATGTACTATATGCATGCATCTATACTATGGATAGAGGGTCAAGCACTTTTAAAAAACAAAGGTCTATAGTTAAGGGGCCTGGGGTAAGATGTAGTAATAATGCTACTAATTAAAACAAGCAAAATTATCACAAGTTTACAACAGTTGTATCTACAGCATAAAAGAGGGATTACCTTAACATTAGAAGGAAATTCATTCTTCATCATACCTCCTATTCCTAGCATGCACAGTACACACCATGAGTTGGAGTCTCTCCGTCGCCCAGGCTGGAGTGCAGTGGCACTCTAGCGGCCACCGCAGCCTTGAGCTGCTAGGCTCAGGCGATCCTTCCACCTCAGCCTTTCAAGTAGCTGGAACTACAGGCGCAGGCTACTACACTGGACTCTTTTTTTTTTTTTGAGTTGGAGTCTCACTCTGACGCCCAGGCTGGAGTGCAGTAGCATGATCATGGCTACCCTAGCCTCGACCTACTGGACTTGGGCGATCCTTCCACCTAAACCTTCCAAGTGGCCGGAACTACAGGTGCGCTACCACGCCCGGCTAATTTTTTGATATACTGTAGAGATGAGGTCTTGCCAAGTTGCCCAGGCTGATCTTGAACCCATGGGCTCAAGCAATCCTCTCGCCTTGTTCTCCCAAAGTGCTGCA